GTATCAGTCAATGAGTAAGAGCAAGTGGTCACAGACTGTCGATGTCAGACAGAGATCGATTAATTGATTTAATTTACGTAATAAAAGTTTAACTACTTATTTCTACCTATTTCTTGCATTTCAGACATTCCTTAAAAAGAAGAATGTATAAATTGGACAGATTATACAGTCGCTTAGATATTGTTATTCAGACTGTTGCATTTTTTACTGATGGCAGGACTCCATTTTTGTGCACAATCTGAGCGTCGATTAGGGAGAATTTATTGTACTCCGACGATACATCGAAGTTACAAAAGTCGTTTAATTTATTTATATGAAAAGATTAAGATGTAAAAAATCGTGTTATGAAAGCAGTATTGTTTGCGTCGAGGCAATATAAAAAGTAAGCGAATCGACGTGTTCGTTTTTTAATTGTTCTGAAAATTGCATAAAGTTTCAGAATCGTTTCTTTTTAATAGAACTGGGCGAGCTTTAGATCCAAGGACTAGCTTTACATGTTAATATTAATATTAAATTATTACGTTATATTATATTATATAAATTATATATTATACATATTATATTATATATATTATATTATATAAATTATATATTATACATATTATATTATATATATTATATTATATAAATTATATATTATACATATTATATTATATATATTATATTATACATATTATATTATATAATAATATTAAATTAATATAAATAGACGTACCATTGGCAACGGAAATATTTTAAACAATCTGACCAGCGTACATCGCAACGTCTTTATCATTTTACCAATTGAATTTTTTAGAATTGCCAATGAAACCGTAACGTTAAAATGATAACAACAATTCCTTGCCAAAATATAGCTTCATACATAGAACACTGACGCGATTCACACGTTTGTTAATAATTCTTCATCTATTTGTTGCAAGCGCACATTTAGCCATTCAATATTTTTAGCTACACTTACATTAATTTTCATTTCATTCAACATGAATTCAGAAATCCTCAATTTATCAGTCCGAGCGAAATAATCGGCACGAAATGCTTTTGCAACGTGTCCTACACGATGTAACAATGCGAGTTAAGCAACTTTTATAAGAACGTAACTCTTAGTTCTACTGTTATTGCGTTTGCCTGGTGATCCCATCGTCAGTATTGCATTTGTTCAGCTTCCTAGCGAGATTCAACGTGGTGCTAAACCTAAGCAAATAAATTTATTTAGCATACCAGTAGGCTGCAGACCTTTATGCAAGATCAAAATTTCCTGAAATCTTTCCGCGAACCGGAATTCCCGCCGGAATACAGAACACGATTGTATTCGTCGCTTATTCGATGATGGACGAGTCAATTATCTGAAATTTACCAGTTCAGATTAATATTAGAAATACCAAGCCAATCAAAATGACTGGTTTCTGTTTTCTTCTTCTACAATTCTTGATATTATTAGGACGTTTTTTTTACAAGTAATTTTTAGATATATTTCTTTATCGAAGCACATATTACAATACAAATCGTACGAAGTTCACATAAATCCAATATTATTATTGTTATAAAATCACTTATTAATATTAATTAATTAATAATATTTAATAAAATAATTATTGTTATAAAGTCGCTTATTCGATGATGGACGAGTCAATTATCTAAAATTTACCAGTTCAGATTAATATTAGAAATTTAATACCAAGTCAGTCAAAATGACTGGTTTCTGTTTTCTTCTTCTACAATTCTTGATATTATTAGGACGTTTTTTTTACGAGTAATTTTTAGATATGTTTCTTTATCGAAGCACATATTATAATAGAAATCGTACGAAGTTCACATAAATCCAATATTATTATTGTTATAAAATCACTTATTAATATTAATTAATTAATAATATTTAATAAAATAATTATTGTTATAAAGTCGCTTATTCGATGATGGACGAGTCAATTATCTAAAATTTACCAGTTCAGATTAATATTAGAAATTTAATACCAAGTCAGTCAAAATGACTGGTTTCTGTTTTCTTCTTCTACAATTCTTGATATTATTAGGACGTTTTTTTTACGAGTAATTTTTAGATATGTTTCTTTATCGAAGCACATATTATAATAGAAATCGTACGAAGTTCACATAAATCCAATATTATTATTGTTATAAAATCACTTATTAATATTAATTAATTAATAATATTTAATAAAATAATTATTGTTATAAAGTCGCTTATTCGATGATGGACGAGTCAATTATCTAAAATTTACCAGTTCAGATTAATATTAGAAATTTAATACCAAGTCAGTCAAAATGACTGGTTTCTGTTTTCTTCTTCTACAATTCTTGATATTATTAGGACGTTTTTTTTACGAGTAATTTTTAGATATGTTTCTTTATCGAAACACATATTATAATAGAAATCGTACGAAGTTCACATAAATCCAATATTATTATTGTTATAAAATCACTTATTAATATTAATTAATTAATAATATTTAATAAAATAATTATTGTTATAAAGTCGCTTATTCGATGATGGACGAGTCAATTATCTAAAATTTACCAGTTCAGATTAATATTAGAAATACCAAGTCAGTCAAAATGACTGGTTTCTGTTTTCTTCTTCTACAATTCTTGATATTATTAGGACGTTTTTTTTACGAGTAATTTTTAGATATATTTCTTTATCGAAACATATATTATAATAGAAATCGTATATATTATTATTATTATATTATTACATATAAATACACATAAATATAATAAATAATAATATAATAATAAATATAATAATAAATATAATACAAATAAATCTAATATTATTATTGTTATAAAATCATGTATATTAGTCGCGTTTAAGTCTCGGTAGTTCTGGTGTTAAAATTAGAGGAAAGAAAGATGAAACTCGATTTTTGCACATTTTTATATCGTTACGCTACGCTACGTATTAATTTTTTAACGATGAACATGAATAACACATATTTTCCTTGAACGCTCCGAGAGTATGAATTGAAACTAAATACGAAACAATTCTTTCGACTGTTTCTCAAATCGCGAAGGCGAGTCGAAAAAACTGATAAACGTTTCTCTGATTGAGAACTCACCTTCGAGAGAGTTGGATTTAAACCGAAAAAGGAGTCGACCGACCTGTCTGTGCATGACTCGCCGATTCTACTTCTCTCGGTTCCCACTATACGGACCGTGTAACGCAATGTATACGCGAAACTGACGAATTTCAGACGCGATTTTTTTCGAAAACGAAATCATGATTGTTCTCGTCTCTCAATTAACTTTTTTTCCTGCATTTCTTTTCGCGCCGCTCGGACGGTTCTGCTGCGAGTTCTGCGACACCCGGTACAATTGTTTCGCATCGAGTGAGCACCGAAAAGAAATCGAGCGCAAGGAAAACCGTTTCTTATCGTTTCCTTGTCCGTGGACTTTTTTTACAGAGATCATTGCGTGCGTACAAACTGCATATTTTTACACAAAATTCCCTATTCTCGTATCGAACGTTACGAAAATTGAAACAAGGAAAAAACTCCACTCGTTCACTGAAAGATCTCTTGCGGTAAAAATACGACGGCTGCGTTTCTTGATAATTCTTCTCGTCTCTACCTTTGAAAATGAATCATAATATCGTTGCCGAAACCAAATTGCGCTAGGATTTACACGAGCTAAAGAAACTCGACGATTCGATGAGGCAGTTTTTATTGCAACAGAGTCGCAATACATTGATTTTTCTTGAATTATTCGCCAGTGCGATCGTTCCCGGTGG